CAGTTTTTTTATGTCATCTGCACTCTCTCCTGTTTCTTCATTGACTCTAATCAGTCTTATGTTATTCTTCTTTGCATCACCTAGCAGCTGCTGGATTGATTCCTCGTGTTCCCTTACAATTTTAAAGCAAGTTTTCTTTTCCTGGTCACTAATTGCAATCTTATCTTCTACATGTGAAATTCTATCCTCACATTGGTTCATTCTGCTGCACAGACTTTCGATGGAGTTTTTAATCTCCTGGAAATCTGTTTGCATCTATTTTATGGATTCCATTTGTTTCCTATTTTGGGATTCCATCATGTTCCTCAGATCCTCTATTTTTTAATCTGTGTCCTCTCTAGATTTATTAATCATGTCTTGCACTATGAGCAAAATCTTTGCTGTTATCTGAGTAATTATTTGTGATTTCATTTTTCCCAGATCCTCTTTTGTTGCCAGTTCCGAGAGTCCAGTTGTTTGAGTGACAAATTATTCCATCTTGTTTCCCTTTGTGGTTGCTGTAGGTGATCTGGAAATCTGTTTTTGAGGCTTGTTTACATGTCTTCTCATTTCCACGGAGGTGGGGGTGCTTCTGGCACCCGCACGGCTCACCTTCTCTGCCCTAGTTGTGTGGAGTGGCAGCAGGGTAGCTTCCTTCGGGGTGCTGGGACTGGCTCAGCTTCTCTGCCCTAGGAGCATGGAATGGCGGTGGGGAAGCTTCCTTTGGGGTGCTGGGACTGGCTCATCTTCTCTGCCCTAGGAGCGTGGAATGGCAGCCAGGAAGCTTCCTTCTGGGTGCTGGGACTGGCTCAGCTTCTCTGCCTTAGGAGTGTGGAATGGCAGCCAGGGAGCTTCCTTCTGGGTGATGGGTCTGGCTCACCTTCTCTGCCCTAGGAGCATGGAACGGTGGTAAGGGAGATTCCTTCCAGGTGCTGGGACTGGCTCAGCTTCTCTGCCCTAGGAGCTTGGAATGGCGGTGGGGGAGCTTCCTTCTGGGTGCTGGAATTGGCTCAGCTTCTCTGCCCTAGAAGCGTGGAATGGCACCAGGGGAGCTTCTTTCTGGGTGCTGGGACTGGCTCACCTTCTCTGCCATAGGAGCATGGAATGGCGCTGCGGGAGCTCAATTATGAGCATCTTAAAAGAGAAAAATCTATTATTTGGTGAGCTAGTGAACTGTTACTCATATCTATGTATGTACGTATTGTGTATGTATACTTTATTTAGCTAAGCTCAGTTATCTGAGCTACCACTGAGCTAACCTTAGCCCCCATACTGCTTTATTTTTTAATTTTTTTTAACAAATAAAGTGTTTAATGAAAAACTGTAGTATACAATGGACTGATCTCTAGAAAAAGGTATTATTTACAAGTGAGCAGCCAAGGTGTTTTCTTTCATTAAATGTAGAATTTAAATGTTCATTCAATGCACATTCGTTACGGTGATACTATAATAAAACAATGTTCAGAGAACTACTCAGGCCCCATTGAAACAGATGAGCATTACTCTTCAGTCATATTCAGAAAATCAAATGTATTTATTTGCTTATTGAGTCTTTTCCAGTCTAATCTTTTTGGCTTTGGTGATTAACTTCTCTGTGCCTCTCTTCTTTTCCTGAGGATAAACTGCTTTATTTTTAACTTTGTTTTTGACTCTTTATTATGTGAAACAAACCTAAGAGAAGTTTTTGTTTTTATAAACAACTAATGCCTTAGTTTATGTAATTTATTTCAGGGTTGTTTTGACCATATAGAAGTCTGTAAATCACCAGAAAGGTATCAAGGCTATTCAGGGATGCAAAAGACCGCAATATTGATTATGCCCAAAGCTGTATAGAGTTAACCCCACAGTTGACTTATTTATGGAAGTTCGTCCTGCCAAAGCTTATGTGCTGAGGTCAGGGTACCTCGCACGCAAATTCCATTCCAACAACTAAAACCTTCTTACTGGAAGGACAATGTTCTAATTACAACCATATATTTTGTCTATTCTGTTCCTAATTCGAGAATGCATTGTCTGTTCCTTTGTCAGCCTTGTCTTCATTAGTTTCCATAGAAAGTGCACAACTGTGCATCCTCACATGTAGGTCTGCTCTGGCATGTAGCTTGCCTTTACCCCAACTGATTATAAGTAAAAATCAGTGGCTTGGACAGACCAAGCCACTAAAGTAGCATTGGCCGTCCTGGCTCCTTGCTTTCTGTCTCTCTTAGTTCTGTCTTTTAGTTTTTTTCCACAACTTGACTTGTACACTGAGCAGGATACTGGAAACTACTGCAGAGGTCT